AGGGTAAAGAGGGTAAGTAAGTGGGGAAAGGCAGGGATTGGTAAAAAGGGAAAGGGGAGGGTTTAAGGGCGATTAGATCAAATGGAAGATGTGAGTATGTGAGAACAGAAACTGCGAATACTTCAGTGTAGATGAGTTATTGTGAAAACTCAATCCCTATCCTATGAGGGTTAAAAAGGTGTCGGAAAAGTAGGAGGGAAAGAACTGGCAAAAGAGACAAGGGATAAGTGGGAAGTATAAGGAATGTCAGGTCGTGGGGGGTGGGGGATCCAGGGAAGAGCTCTGTTGTGACAAAAGGGAGTCAAGTGTGTATTCAGTAGGAAGCGGCAGGCATGAAACGGGGAACATGAGGAGGAGGAGGATGGATGTCAGGTGTCACTTTGACTGTAGAAGGAATGGGAAATTGAGAGGGTGGATGAGGCATAGGCATGTTTCTTGGGGTTATGATTAGAAAGATTTAAATTTCCTCAAGAGTTTCTGAAAGGGAGTTGGTTGGGGATGTCTGAGAAATATGTGTCTTCATATGTAGGGGGATAGGTATGTTTAGATTGTATGATGCAATGGGTAGAGATAAGAGGAGACATTGGAGTGTCTGAACTTAGAATAGCAAAAATTTAGCTGGGGAAGGAGAGGGTAGAAGTGGGAATATAAGGAGTAGGAGGAAGAGATACTAGAGGAAATGTAGGAACATCTTGGGGAGAAGGGGCAGGGGCAGAGCAAGTGAAAAACTTTGTTGGTGTGCTTCATGCCTAGTTTTGCATAAAGTGAGGCCAGGTTTGAATCTCTGGACTGCTACCTCAGATTCCATTTGTAGGTAGGGTTGCCAACATAAAATACATTAGGGGACCCATCACAGTTGGCATACATGTGTGATTGCACATGGCAGGTAGAACAATCATGGCCGGGTTGGGTACATATAGGGCAGTGGGCTGTGGAGTGACAGTGCTGGGCAGGGTGGCTTAGAAGCCAACATTTATGACACTGGCAGGGAAGAGGTCAGTATAATTGGACAGGTCAAGATTTTCCACCAATATAAATTTCATTGTCATGTCTACAGAAGGTTATCTTGGCAAAATTACTGTAGCACTTTCAGCGGCTTGGGGGGGGGGGGGGTACCATAGTACCATACTTATATGACTGCACCTTAGTCAGTGAGGCAGGCATGCAGATCTTTTCATAGTCTGGCCAATCCTTGTACACAAAGCCAAGGAGATGGAAATAGTTCCAGCACAAGTATTTTGGGAGAAGTGAGGCTGGGCAGGAATTTGCTAGTGAGATGGTTAATGGTTAATGGTTAAAAGCAAGATAAATGTGCTAGACATCTAAGGTCATGTAGCACTATAGTTAATGTTAGTGAAAGGTGGTTGAGTTAGTGATTAGTTGTCTAAGTTGGGCAAAGGAATTGGTGAGTCAAAGGGTTAAGGTCGAGTGTTAGATTAGATAAAGGATATGTATGCGTTTGAGGAAAGAGAACAGGTTGTTGATGCAGAAAGTGTGGGATTCTGTAAGGATGTCTGATAGGTTGGGAGGTCGGTGAAGGGAGGATAGGTGGGGGAAAGCAGAGGTACGGGCTGCTTCAAAGCGTGGGCACGACAATAGGATGTGTACGATTGAAAGGGGAACATTACATAAGGAACATAGGGGTGGATCAGATTGTGACATCAAATAGGAGTGTGTTAGACTGGTGTGGCCAATGCGTAAGCGGGCGAGAGCAGTCTCCCAACGTCTGTTCCGATGAAATGGAGCTGACCAGGAGGAGACTGATAGTTTTACAGAATGTAATTTATTAGTGTGGAGGCTTGACCAAAAAGATTGCCATCGTTTATACAAGAAGGTCTTAAAGTGTGGGTAATGCATGAAAAAGATTGCGTGCGTGTATCAAAGTGTGTGGGGCGATCTGAATATAGAATAGTAAGGTCAGCTGTGGAGAGGAAGCGCTCTAGAGATCGGCCTCGGGAGTTGGTAATAGAATCACCCCAAAGAGTGTGGCGGCAGTTAAAGTCGCCCACTATGAGGAAAGGTGGTTGAAGTTGGGAAATTAGATTTTCAAAAGCAACAAAGTCAATGGGGTGGGAAGGGGAGAAGTAGACTGAAATCACTGTGATCCAACTATGAAGGAAGATACGAATAACTGTGCAAGGGACATTGGTTTGAAAGGGTGGTGTGACATAAGGTGTTTTCTGATTGATAAGTATGGACGAGACATAAAGGGAATGTGGGGAAGAGACAAAATGATAATTGGGGATTGGTATTGGAGGATGTGTAAGAAAGGTTTCTTGAAGGCATACAATAGATGGGTTATAAGAGGAAATGATATGACGAAAGTCAGGTCTGTGGGAGCGGAAACCGCGAATATTCCAATGAAGGGATAGTTATACTTTCGTTGATTTAGTGTTATAGATTGCGGTACGTGTTGGAGACTTTGAGGGGGAAGCAGCTAGAGGGTGGGATAAGGATTGAGAGGTTTGAGATGGGAGAGGATGTGGGAGTTGGTGTTCTATCAGGAGGGGTATTAGGAGATGGAGGGTCTGAGGAAGGGGATACTTGTGACATAAGGGATTCACGTGTGTATCCAGGAGGGAGTGGAAGGGATAGAGGGGATGGTGGGAGAGTTAATGTGGGCTGGGTTGGGGTCGGCGTCGGGGGGGATGGGCTGTGTTGTGAGGGGGTAGGAGGGATAGGGTGTAGGGGGGATATCGTTAGGAGGAGGATGGATATCAGCAGTTACTTGGAGTGTGGAAGGAGCAGGAGTTGTAGGTTGAGTGTCAGGTTTGCATTAAGTAATCTTGAATATTTTCAATAGTTTCTTCTGTGGAGTTGGTTGGGGAGTTGTGGGGGATAAAGGATTTCTTGTGAGGGGGGGGAGAGAGGACTGGTGTCTCAAGAGTAGGGGCAAAGGATGGTGGGGTGATTGTGTGGTAGGGGAAGAGGGGGTGGAACGTTTGTTCTGTCTGTTACGGGGAGTGCGAGGAGGGAGAGGGGAAGGTGTTGGGGTTGTAGTGGTGATTGGAGTATCTGTAGTAGAGATTGGAGTTTCTGGATTTAGGATGGCAAAAGAGTTTGACTGGGGAAGGTAGGTGGGTAGAAGTGGGGGGGTTAGATGTAGGAGGGGTGGGTTTAGGAGAAGTGTTAGAATGAGCAGTATTACTGGAGTAAGGAGTAAGAGAGAATCCACGTCGACGTGCTTCCTGTCTGGCTTCACGCAGTGTGAGTCCAAGTTTGAATCTGAGAGTTACTACCTCAGATTCAAATTTGTAGGTGGGACAGCCCCTATAAAATACATTATGGGGGCCGCCACAGTTGGCACATGTGCGTGATTGTGCAGAGCAGTTAGATCGGGTATGGCCAGGTTGGGCACATAATGGGCATCTGGCTGTGGAACGGCAGTGTTTGGCTGGGTGTCCTAGACGCCAACAATTTTGGCACTGACGTGGAGGAGGTTGGTATGGACGAACAGGGAGGGATTCTCCTCCTATGTAGACGTTAAAGGGAAGGTCATGTCTACGGAAGGTAATTTTGGCTATGTTAGTGGGTTTCTTTCGATGACCTCTGGGGGGGATGGAAGTAGCATTGTACTGATGTTGCATCGTAGTCTGTGAGACAGGCAAGTAGATCTTCTCCACAATCTGACCAATCTTTGTCATAGATTGGGCAATTTGTTGGTGAGATTGAGACTGTTCCGGTGCAAGTATTGAGGGTTGGATGGGGTTCTGCTAGGATGGGGTTACCATATAGGTCAGTTAGTTTTGTTAATGCTATAGCTTGGTTTTCGGATGTTACTGTTACAAGACGGGAGCGGTCGGGTCGGCTACGGAAAGAGACTTTACCTACTTGTTTTTGGAGGCATTGTTGGAAGAGAAGGGTGTTGTCAGAGTAGGGAGCTGTGGGAGGGATCACGAAAAATCGGTCCCATTTGGCTGCACTGAAGAGAGTATTCAAGATTGTTTTAGAGATAGGGGTGGTAGAAGGGCGAGGGCGTGACGAAGATGGAGTAGTGTTGATGGAGGTAGTGTTATGGAGAGGTGGGCTATAAGGCTGTAAGGTATTAATAAGGGAGGATGGGGTGGTTGATGTTGGAGGTTGTGGGGATAGAGGTGTTGAAGTTGGGCATGCTGGGAGAGTGGAAATGTTCCTTGAGGGTTGATTGTTGGCTACTGTACTAGTAGGCATTGGTGAAGGGGTAGTTATTGCAGTGTTTGGAGCCTGTGGTCAAAGGAGAGCCTGGGGTCGGGGAATAGGGTGGGTTTACTTCGTTGGGGCTATTTGATAAATGGGCAAGCCTCATTGCCCCTAACAGTGGGGATATATTTTCATTACTGGCCATGGGAAGCCTGGATTATGTTGGGGATAAAAGCAGTCCACCCCTCAGGGTCCCCTTGAGGGGTAAGGGCTAGATAACTAAATCAGGGGAATACCGTGCCCATGGATCCCTCAGGCCGTTCAGGACTGGCACAAAGTCAGCCTTTCATCCTTTCAGCACGGCTCTCACACCTTAGGAGGTGGATAGCAGAAGGGTTTGGTGAAGGGACTGAAACAAAAGTGGGAAGGGAAAAAAAAGACCATGCATAATTAGTTGAGTCGAGGGCTGAGTCCCAAGGTTGGGGAGTTCCCCATCATTGGGTCCCAGTCTCCGCCTCCTAAGCCCCCCCACGACAACAACGGGCAAGGGATTGGGGGGGTCCCAAGGTTGGGGAGTTCCCCATCATTGGGTCCCAGTCTCCTCCTCCTAAGCCCCCCCACGACAACAACGGGCAAGGGATTGGGGGGGATTTGCTAGTGAGATCAGTCAAGGAAGATAATGCACAAGCTTGTGACGCAGTTGTAACCGTGACAAGGCATGAACAATCGGAATGATTGCAAAAGGGAACTTTGTGTTGCATCTCTTCAATAAAACTAGAATATTTACTCTAAGAACTATTACAAACATTTGTCGCAAAAATGATTTTATTTCTAATAAATTGAATACTTAGGGTCTGAGAATGACATTTAAAGGCAGAAAATTATTATGAAAATGTGTTTTATTCATTCATCTTCTGTACAAAAGCCACAGTTGTGTCAAAAGTACAACATGTATGGCAGTGTTCCACAGGAGAGTTCCAGATAGCAGATCAAACTTGAAATCCACAACTATTTATCTTATTCATATGCTTATGGTATCTGCTATATATGTCAGAAACCAATACTTAAAAAGCATTTTGTCCATTCATTTCACAAACGTTATAAAATAATATATGGTAGAAATATTTATGATGTCAAAATAGAGATACGAATTGCATACTTGACTTTCATGTTGAAATGGCTGACATAATATACCTACTTTACTATTCTGCAAAATTAGTGAGCAACGGAAACATAAAACTTTTAGGAAACTTTCTTCTGCTCAATGCTATACACACCTGCAATTGAAAAAAAATAAAAAAGGAAGGTATTGTCTTTAATGCCAAGCAAAGTAGTATTTGTGAACAAGGGGATGTAAATGCTCAAAGCTTGATGAGTATAAGTAATGATGGCATTAGAGTTGTCTCTAGTTTGAGCAAAATTAAGGACAATATACTCAAAATGGATGTATGTCATATATGTAGCCTGAAATAGTACATATATATATACTTGCTATTTTCATAACAAAAATCCTACGGTAGAATTGAGCTTACAGACATGGGGAATCTTATCTGGAGGTTCATAGTTATTCTTAAAATGCATACTTAAGAAAATGAAACAAAAGTAAAGAATAATACAGAGTAAATGATATGCATGGATTACATAAGACGAAGAAAAATAAAAATAAATGTAGATGCTTCTAAACTCACCTGCATCTTCACTATCCACCAATATAGCAACTGGAGTACAAAAAATATCAATAAATAAAAGTATTACTTTCAAGTATTCCATTCTTGGTGATGTTGTTCTACCAAGCCATTATGTACAAAAGAAAAAAAAAACTGAAATCTCATGGGAACGCTACATTACAGCAGAAATTAAATTGCTTTATCACAGAATGCTGAACTGAAAATTGGAAGCCTTTACAGCAGCACACATTAATATCGCTCCACAAGTAAGTCAATAGATTACCCTCCCTATTGACAATATAAATGCATTTGTAATACATGTTTACCAATCTTGCAACAAACAGCAATGAAATCTTGACAATATGATAAATTCCACAATTCTTAAATGGTATGTTCATATCTTTTACCTAAATGATTTTGCTAACTAATTGAATCTGAAACTTGAACTGTCATGTATTACAACAATCTATTACAAATCTAAATCTATGACAGAATCTACCATGAAGAACTCAAGATTTTCTTCATTACAATTACATCACCATCATCAGGTCTCTGAGAAAATAGCAAAAAATCAGATGCTGATAAGATTTAAAACATCTTAAATATGTCATATACAAGCTTTATACAATGGGTAGAGTGGCACGTTAAGAAGACGGTGAGGTGCCATAAGGCTTTGCTTCTTCATGTGATCAACATATGTTGATAACTACAGAAAAAAAGCATTTACAAACATGACTAAATCCATGTTCTATTGCAAACGTGCATAGTCAATTCTGACTGGTACAAACTCATTCTTTCCAAGATATTCCTTTCACTCAAAGAAATTTGAATGTTAAATTCTGGAAGAGAAATAAATTCTCTTCTCAATACTAAGCTTCATCATGGTGAATCATGCCCAGTTTTAAAAGGTAATGTGTATTTAAATTTTCAAAGATTTGATATATTCAAAATAAAAAAGTGGACTTCCAATTCTGTTCAAAAACACTTAAGTACACAACCATTTCTTGTGTTTTTCTTTTTTCACAAGAGATAAGTAAACAATCATCCCCATGAATCAGCTTATGCAAGCTGATATGAATCATTACATAAAAAAGGGGGAAAAATACATATATATGTGTATATATACTGTTGGGGTCAAGAGGTAAAGGTCAAAAAGTTACCTAAAATTAGGACATCTTCTATCTATACATGTTGTGAATTACTTTCCATGGAGATTGAAACATCAAACTGACACAGTTATTAATTGCAATAATAATGTCACTAGAACCTACAGTAACATAGTCCCAGGGTTGAAGACAGAATGTACAGGTACAAAGACTGCAGAAATTTGCAAGTTTACAAATATGAGCCATAAATAATTTTTGTGCAATTGTTATTCATTTTGCAATGGAAACTTCACAATTTCAAAAAATATCCTTCACATTTATGGCTCAGAAATTACTTACAATGTTATCTTCTTATGGTTGCGAGGTCTACCACATGAACCTTTAGCATTTGTAAGTAATACTAGTCTACATGCGAGTTCATGTTCCCTTGCACAAAAGCAAAACATAAAAAAAGAGAGATAGAGACAGAAAAAAGATAAGTTTTCCTTAGAATAAAGACTTTGTCATTTACAGTTCGCATTAGTCCATAACATGTTGAGAAATGTCCCAACCAATGTTTTGCCTTCATTGCCTGTCAATTAAATAAATAAAATAAAGAGCAGTTTCTCCAACTTACATTATTTCTACAACTGCTGCTCTCTGCTACAGTACTACCATATGCCTAGTTATGATACAATAATCTTTAAATAATGTCATTACAACAGTGAATATGCACAAGCTAATACCAGTTTGGTTTATGCTGTATTCACTGACAATCTTTACAATATTTTTCTTTATATGTACAATAACACATCAAGTGTAATCCTTCAGTAAATAAATGTGCGTATCTGTGGTAGAGCAACACAATTTGTTCATCAACAGCACCTCTTTTGTATCAACTTGTGAAGTGTGAGGGTTAAGCCTTAGTACTAGATTATGGTATAAAATTATTATTTTCCTACAAAGACACATAAACTAATATATATATAATTCATTCCAATACACATCACAAATAAATACAAAAATATTATTTGGTTTCAAACAATTGTTTCTATACCACAAAACATGCTAATATCTTATTGCATCACAACTGACTCTGTAAGATGCACCCAAAGTCATTGCACCATCATTATCTTATCCTCTTTTTTTATCTTTTAAGTGAGTTTGTCATTCTATTAATATTCCTCTTTACAGTTGGAAATAATGAATTTACAATATTACTCATAAATTATGATCATGAAATTTTTCCTTAAAAAGATATGAAAAAAGATACTAATAAAAAAAATAATTAATTAAAAACTAATAAATACTGAATGCC